GGACATTCATAATCGCTGTTGTAGGTTAAAGGCCACAACATCTATCTACCTTGTTGTTGGTCACCCCCTCTGCTGGCCACCCTAACACTACGTGGGCAGTACTGAGAGAGAGAGAGAGAGAGAGAGAGAGAGAGAGAGAGAGAGAGTGTGAAAGGGGGGACGAATCAGACACAATGGAGTGGAATTATTTGTACTTTCACTGTCGACTCGTTCACCTGGGTTTAGCTTCGTTCAACAGTTATATCAAAGTAAATCTCTTGAGTTCAGCATTTCAAGTCAATTCACCTCATTCAACCACCTTATTGATAGTTACCAGCTCATGATAAGTATAGGATCACCTGAAGAGTAGAGAGCCCAATTTATTTCACCAGATGATTGTAAACGCTCTCATGCTATACCTGGTGGGTTAGGTTAGGTTGGTTTACGTTAGGTTAGGTTAGGTTAGATTAGGTTTGGTTACATTAAAGTGATTAATCTTAAGATGAAAAAACAACTGGGGTGTTTAATCCTCACATAAACCATCTATCTCACTCCGAGGTTAGAACGACGTGTATTAGTGCATGACAAAGGAATGCTGTCAGACCTGCCTCCTCTCTGCTTGGGTACGTCACTGACCAAGAAAAACTACTGTCCAATTTGTTATGTTTGGGAGGTAAACATCCCACCGCCTTCAGTAATAAGTAAGGTGTGTGGCAAGCAATTCTAAACCTTCGAGTGATTTTATTTTGGTCAAGTCACTTATGTGTTTTGTTCAGGCACGTGTATAAGTGTTCATATGTACCGGTATATATTTATTCGTTTATGTATACATCCAAGCATATACTCATACACACATACACACACACAGACACACACACGTTGCCAAGTATGTGTAAGAGGTTGAGGGCCAAGGTCGTCACGCAGTCAAACCCCGATATCATCATTGCGTCACGGTTTGTTTTGTGCGGTGCATTGTAGGAACGAAAAGGTGGAGTAAACGGCGGCGGCGGCGGATGTGTCCGTCGGGGCGTTGACAAAAGGCGGCGCTGAAAGGAAATAGTTTTACGGACTTCCTCAATTAGTGTTATAAAAATAGACGCGTAATGCTGAAGATCTGGCGGGAAATTTAAATTACGAATCTCTAATGGGTCAACTGCAGGCCCTCGCTGGCTCAAGGTCAGGCCAGGGAGGGATACCGGTTTTTCTTATTATTCCGAGATAATCATTATTCAGTAGAAACTAGTTGGTGGAACAGGATCTGCTCTCTTAAGTATTCTGTATGTTGAGTTTGTTCTCTGACTGGTTACAGGAGAATGTATCTAGTTAAGGTAGAGTCTTAGGTGAGAACGTATCTAGTTAAGGTAGAGTCTTAGGTGAGAGCGTATCTACTGTAGTTAAGGTAGAGTCTTAGATGAGAGCGTAACTACTGTAGTTAAGGTAGAGTCTTAGGTGAGAACGTATCTAGTTAAGGTGGAGTCTTAGGTGAGAACGTATCTAGTTAAGGTAGAGTCTTAGGTGAAATCGTATCTAGTTAAGGTAGAGATTTTGAGTAGAACGTATCTAGTTAAGGTAGAGTCTTTGAGTAGAACGTATCTAGTTAAGGTAGAGTCTTAGGTGAGAACGTACCTAAAAAAATTTTTCGGATGGTCTGAAAAATGGCAGATGAAATTCAATGTGGACAAAGGCAAAGAACTCAGTATAGGAGATGTAAACAGGGAAACGAGATACCAGATGAACAACGATGTTATTGAGAAATCCGACTGCGAGAAAGATTTAGGAGTAATGATAAGTAGGAATCTTAAGCCAAGTAAATAATGTGTATTTGCTCGAAACAAGGCTAATAAAGTACTTGGGCTCATACAAAGGAATGTTAGTTACAAGACTAGCGAGGTCATCCTAAAACTATATCTTGCTCTTGTGAGACCACACCTGGATTACGCAGTTCAGTTCTGGCCACCGTATTACAGAATGGATATAGAACCCTTGGAAAGAATTCAGAGGAGAAAGAAAAGACTAATCCCGGGCATTAGGAACCTTGAGTACAGAGACAGGTTAAAGCATCTTAATTTGCACTCCCTCGAGAGACGTAGAGTGAGGGGCGACATGATAGAGGTGTATAAATGGAAGTCAGGGCTAAACAAAGGGGACATTACAAAGGTACTCAAACTATCCAACCAGGAGCGAACTCGCAACAATGGTCTTAAATTAGACAAATTTAGATTTAGGCGCGAAATAGGTAAACATTGGTTTGGAAATAGATAAGTGGACGAGTGGAAGAAGTTACCAAACATCATTAACTCGAATACGCCGGATAGCTTCAAACATAGGTTGGATGGATATATGAGCAATAGGGGTTGGGTGTAAATGGGACTGCCCAGTATGGGCCAATAGGCCCGCTGCAGTTTCCTTCATTCTTATGTTCCTATGTTGAGTAAAATGTATCTAGCTAAGGTAGAGTCTTAGGTGAGAACGTATCTAGTTAAGGTAGAGTCTTAGGTGAGAACGTATCTAGTTAAGGTAGAGTCTTAGGTGAGAACGTATCTAGTTAAGGTAGAGTCTCAAGATAACGCCTCCCACTTTTACACAATAACACAACAAACGCCAAAAATCACCTCCAACATCCTGCCCTGCAAGGCACGCTCATCATACACACTGTCAACAACACTGACTACAAACACTGAAAAATGTACCGAGAAATTTGGTTGTTTGAATACTTAGTTTCAAGATTCTTTGGGGGTTGAAAGCATTATCAGTGTGTGTGTGTGTGTGTGTGTATTTCTACGCAAGTGTTTACAAGTACTGTCACTCACATATCTGGTGCTTAGTACGGAAATTACTCACACACACACACACACACACACACACACACACACACACACACACACCATAACACCCTGCATCGTCTCTAGTAATGGGGAGAGAGAGGACCAGGTGGGGGTTGGGGGGGGGGCGGGCGTAGAGAATCACTGCCTCGTCTCCCTCAACACCTGCTCATCGCTCCTCGGCTGGGACCTCGAGCAGCTACTCCCGGGGAAATTAGACACACTGTTTACACCACGAAGACCAGGAGCAAATAAACACGAATTCCATCCTTTTTTTATCAAATTAATTACCTCATGTCGATGGACAGAGATCGATTTGGTATTATATATTTTGATGTTTCTGAAGGTAATAATTCGCTGACAGTAAATCGCTTGTAATTTGGGGTGCTTATTTCACCTGATGATTTAAACACCCTAACGCTACCTTGGGGGTTAGGTTAAGTTTGGGTTAGGCTATATCACATGAGGTTAGGTTTAGTTAGATTAGATGAGGTTAGGGTAGGTTATAATAGGTGAACTGATTTCAGTTTGACCAAGGCGCTGAAGGGGGGCATTTCCGAGCAACAGGATGTGTGGCGGGTTTATTACACATTACAGTATTCTTCTCAATACTTGAAGGTCACCCTAAAAAAAAACCAAGTCTTAAGTAGTACGATACGTCACTCGAACTAAGTGTAAGGTGCAGCTCTCTCTAGGTAGGTAGGTATTATGAGGGAGAGAGAGAGAAAGAGAGAAAGAGAGAGACAGAAAGAAAGAAAGAAAGATTGTGAAAGAAAGAAACACACACACACACACACACACACACACACACACACACACACACACACACACACCTATCACTCTGTCTACCTTGCCAACACAAACCATGAACCTCCAGGTACTTGCATCCTTATTCGCTAGAGTCAGAGAAGGTGAGTATGTTTCCCTGTTGACCGCTGTAAACACTTGACCGAATATAGGAGTGAGAATACCGTGTCAAGGTTGATCCCATGACAGGAGACACAGGTAAGAAGAGATCCACTACCAACCCTGCCACCGTTTACAACCACCACAACTACCACCACCAACATTATCATTATCATCACCGCTTCAACCAACACAACACTTACCACCATCATCCTTGCCACCATCACTACTACTACTACCACCACCACCATCACCATCATCGCTGCCACCAGTGTGTGTGTGTGTGTGGGTGGGTGGGTGGGTGGGTGGGTGGATGGATAAAGGAGGTGGTTTGATAGATGATGTTTGGGTTAGGGACGACCTACCCACCCCAAAGCAACACCTGGCCTGACACCTCCTACCCCTACCCTACCTCATCTCCAGGGTCCATAATTATGTTTGGAGAGGCTCCTCGGGGAGATTCTTGTTTAAGTTGGGGAGTCAAGTTCTCGTACGCAAGGGGCTAAGTCATGGAACTCAGAGCTTTAAATAAGATATCGTTGGATTACGTTACGTTACGTTTAGGTTTGATTATGTTACGATAGATTAGGTTAGGTTAAGTTCAGTTAAGTTAGGTTAGTTTAAGTTAAGTTAGGTTAGGTTAAGCTAGGTTAGGCTAGGTTATTGTTAAGGTAACTAATTCTAAGGTGAAATAAATTAGAGAGGTTAGTCTTCATGTGATACCTTTCCTCCTTTGTTGCCTTTGATAATTGAACAACGAATCAACGTGAAGCCTTTGCCAACGCCACAGAAAACTGAACATCCTTGACTGATATCCAAACACCACTGGTTACTGTCGCTTCTTCAGCCACATATTCTGAATGTTCCTGTCTACCAGAACACTCAGTCATGCTCACAGTGTTGTTATTGTTCACTTTGTAGGTGTTTAGGTGTAATTTACTGGCTAAATAAACTGTTCTAAAATATCAATGTCATCATCAATATCACTGATCGCCATCCCTCTCTTCCCCACTCCACTCATTCATCTCCACACCCACTCATCTACTTCCACAACCCACTCATCTACCTCTAAACCCCACTCATCTACCTCTAAACCCCACTCATCTACCTCCACACCCCACTCATCCACCACCACACCCCACTTATCCACCACCACACCCCACTCATCCACCACCACACTCCACTCATCCACCACCACACCCCACTCATCCACCACCACACTCCAATAATCCACCACCACACCCCACTCATCCACACCTGTACTGATCAGCACCACTCTCTCGCCCCCACCAGGATACGACCCCACCATGACGAACTACAACCGGAATTCGGACGTCGTGGCAATGGACATCAATTCTCCAGCTCACATGGTATCGTTCGGCAAGAAGAGCGGCTGTTTCATCAGTAAGACCGTCGGCTGGCTGCTGGCTATCTTCTTCGTCAGCGCCCTCGTTGCTACAGGTCTTCTCGTCTACTTCTACGCCCCTCATCACAGGATCATGGAAGCACCGGTGACGGATACTGAGAGACTTGAGGTAAGGTCGTGGATTTTGGCGAGTTAAATGGGTGGGGAGGTCGTGTAGGCTGTATCTTGTACGAGTGGGTCTTGGTATCGCCACACCTCGGAACTGGGTATTAACAGGTACAAACAATGTGTAAATATGGAGTTGAAGGCATCATCATATGTTAAATTATAGTTAATTCAGTTTTACTTCTGGAACAAATAAATGAAGTTAACGTCGAAGAGAGAAAAGCATATGTTGGTATTTATTAATGTAGAAATTCTTAATCAAAGGTCATCCGTCTTGTTTTAACAGATATTCAGAAATGCCCCCAACATAGCCACAACGAAAACCCCAACAACCACAACCATAATCACCACAAAAGCTCCGACAACCACCACCACCACAAGCACCACCACTACCAGTAGGCCAACCACAACCACAGAGGCGCCTAAAGAAGAGAAGATCAACGTGCGTCTCCCTAACACTCTGAAGCCCCTCCACTACCTGGTCAAACTTCAGCCACTCATCAACGGCAACTTCAGCATCCTCGGCTACGTGGAGGTGGAGATGGAGGTGCTGGAACCAACCTCCAACGTCACCCTCCACATGGCCGACATCATCACTAAGAATGAGACAATTAAGGTAAGAAGACTCAACACTCGAGGCTGTTCACCGTCTTGTGTGTTAACCTCAACGTGTGTCGGACAGAAAGTTCCAATTCTAATAATGTGAAACGGGTGCGGGTATCCTCAAAAGCTCACCCGTAACATTTTTAGAACTTCTATTTGCTCTTTAATTGGTGCTGAAGTCCATGAAGATATATAGTTAAAATCATTTACTTTTTGAGACACTTGAGAATCGATTTAAAATATGATACACAACAGACAAGTCAATAATTTATTTTTTTTAATCTTATAAATAAATTGTTGCCTTGGTTCACAGCTGAGAGACTTAAACAACTTAGAAGGTCCAGAGTTGGTGATTAAAAAGCACGAATATGACCGTGAGCGAGAGTTCTACCTGGCACACCTGGAGGAGGAGCTGCAGCAGGGCCACAAGTACATCCTCTCCATGGAGTTCACGGGTCTCCTCAACGACAAGATGGCCGGCTTCTACAGGTCTTCGTACAGAAACGCTGAAGGCAATAAGACGTTAGTAATTCAGATGAAGCTCTATGTTATTGACTAATTTTATCAAGATAACTGATGAGCCGTTCAGAATCATAACCTGCCGTCCGCCAATTGGTCAGTGGCGGACGACATGTTATGATTCAGAACGTCGGGTAACCTTTAAGAGAGCTGCGGCACTCAAAAGCCTCAGTAATCTTAATAATTTGTTTGCTTTCACTTTGTTGCTGTATTTTTCTGATTGATTAAATTTTTTTCAATATAAATTTCAGTATCTTGTTCTTGTTGTTTTTTATTATTGTTGAGAAAAAATACTCCAGGTATGTTTACATCAATCATGTCAGGTAGATCATCAATGTGTGTAGTGATTGAACCTTTAATTCCCTGACGAGGAAGGTTTAACTCTTTTATATCGATGGTGTAACACTGAGGGGGACAGTATATAATTTCGAAACAATCCAGGATTACCCCAAAATATAACGTTTCCCACAAGTGCTTTCAAATTTCCTGCCAACCACATACATTACTCACTACACGGGGTGAGGGTGGTACAGTACATTTCGCCTCTCGGTTACTGGGAAGAGTAAAGGATGACTGAAAAATAGTACAAGAGAAATTTGTTCTGACTGCCATCTTGGTCACAACATAATTCCTCTATGTCAAGAAACATACTTTATGTGTATATATTTACTGACAGGTGGCTGGCAGCGACACAGTTCCAGCCGACCAGCGCACGGCGAGCCTTCCCATGCTTCGACGAGCCTGGACTGAAGGCCACCTTCGAGGTGTACCTGGCCAGACAGGAGAACATGACCAGCATCTCCAACATGCTCATCAACGAAACTCTCCCTGTGTAAGTCTTGGCCTCCTCGGTAAGCTACAATATTGTGTCTGTGATCCTGGCTGATGTTAATAAGCCCCGTCAACACACAAACACTGTCTTATCAAACGTGATGTTATATTGTCATCAGGTCTTATCCTGTAGTGCATCATTATAGGAGTACTTTCTATCCTCACAGGGAAGGTCAGGAGGGGTGGGTGTGGGACCACTATGACACCACTGTCCCCATGTCCACCTACCTCGTCGCCTTCGTCGTGTCTGACTTTGCTTACAGAAACGCAACCGACATCGACCATGTTCTCTTCAGAGGTGATTATGAACACCACCTTTCTGTATGATCTGTAGGAGACAGTGAGAGGAACTTGACCCCTTATTGAATGTTTCTCTCAACTTACTAATAATATATCAAGGTTAATTAGTACCCAGTGAGTGTATGAATTACACCGTCGATATGTTTTCCTGTTTTTCATTTCAATTTAATTTTCCCCTCCACTAAAGCAGCAGTAGTAAGCAATTGATATACAGAAAGACTTACACGGGAATATGATGTACCTTATAGATAGATAGATAGATAGATAGATAGATAGATAGATAGATAGATAGATAAATAGACTTAGACAGAAATAAACTGTACTTGATAAAAAAAAAAGCCCAGGGAAATCTCACACAAACAGGTCATCACGGACGGTTCTGTTTTAAGAGTTCAATTACCAGTGGCATGTGCCCTTAACACCCACCTGCCTAATCTCTCCTACACAGTGTGGGCTAGAGAGGCAGCCCTAGACCAGACGGAGTACTCGAGAAAGATCGGTCCTGCCATCCTCACACACTACGAGGACTACTTCAACCAGTCTTACCCACTACCCAAGCAGGACATGATCGCCATCCCGGACTTCTCTGCTGGAGCCATGGAGAATTGGGGCCTCATAACCTACAGGTGAGTGCCAGGTAGATGTGAGTGTCAGGTATATGTGAGCACCAGGTACTGTAGATGTGATTGTGCCAGGTAGATGTGAGTGCCATGTATATGTGCCCACCAGGTAGAAGTGAGTGCCAGGTAGATGTGAGTACCAGGTAGATGAGAATGCCAGGTAGTTGTGAGTGCCAGGTAGAAGTGAGTACCAGGTAGGTGTGAGTGCCAGGTAGACGATTACTTAATTGATGACATAGATATTTACAGTATATTATTGGTTTTCATCACACGAAGACAATAAAGACAATTCTATTCAATATACCACCTCCTCCTTCACCTCCTTCTCCTCAACCACCTCCTCCTTCACCACCTCCTCCTCCTCCTTGACTACCACCACCTCCTCCTCCTCCTCTACCACCTCCTCCTCCTCCTCCTCAACACCCAATCCCATACCCACAAATAGTCATGCCGTGTTCCCTCATTAACACCTAGTAAAATTATCCTTCAGGGAAACGGCCATGCTCTACGACCCAGCAGTGTCCGCCCCAGTCAACCAGTACCGCGTGGCTCTGGTAGTGGCGCACGAGTTGGCCCACCAGTGGTTCGGCAACATCGTTACGCCGACATGGTGGACGGACTTGTGGCTGAATGAAGGCTTTGCTTCCTTTGTCCAGTACATCGGGATGGACCACGTGAGTACACTACGTTGTTTATACTGTTCTAGCTTTAGCACTCTATGGCTCAGTACATGAAGCTGCTCTTACGGTGTTTGTCTCACATGTCTCCTGTGCCCTATGTGGTAACCATCGTCAGGGCATCACAGCTGAAGAATACCGAATACATATACTTAAATCTTGCTCTTACTCATATCTCCCTCAGGATTATTTAAGTGTCTGCAAATTTTTTTACGTTGAGATGAATTATCCCCGTGCAGGTTGAGCCATCATGGAAGGTGCACGAGCAGTTTATCCTTGACAAGGTCCAAAATGTGTTCAGTGAGGATAGTCTGGAGTCGTCTCACGAGATCAGCATCCCAGTCGGTCATCCTAATGAAATCAGTCAGATTTTCGACGGCATCTCGTACAACAAAGGTGAGGCAGCCCATGACCACCAAGTTTTACGACAAATCTTTATAAAGTACTGTACTGTAATAAAGGTCCTCCTGTGTACATATCAAGACACCTTGTAAAAGTAATGTTAATGTTTCAGATTAATGTAGTATAATATTCACTGACAATAGAAATGACTCCAGTATAGTTTTTAGAAGAGTTAATCTAATTTGATAAAACAAAATATAACTGTTTATTGGTTCTAATGACTTCCCTGGACACGAATGAGTGAACTTTTAAAGGATGAAACATTTCGGTGTTCAAAACTCTCACTCGAAATACATTTCATCCTCAGGATCGTCTATCATCCGGATGATGAACCACTTCCTGACGGAGGCCACCTTCAGGAAGGGCGTCAGTGATTACCTCGACGCCTTGTGAGTCTTACTTGTGATCTATCAATTTGTTTATGTTTATATTGTTCCTGAAAGACACAGCCGATGAAAAGGGTTTTAACTTAAGTGTAGTTGACGTGTTGTTGTTGTTTTGGTTGGCAGTCAGTACGATACCGCAGAGCAGGACGACCTGTGGCGGCACCTGACGACGGCGGCCCACCAGGACGACACGCTGCCTCAAGACCTCACTGTTAAGACCATCATGGACACTTGGACGCTGCAGATGGGCTACCCCGTCATCAAGGTGGAGAGGAGCCCAGACGGTACCACGGCTACTGTCTCTCAGGTGAGATAAGCAGGTGTTACAGCAATACTTAAGTCTTTCCCATTGATCTTGGAAGCCTGAAAATGTTTACCTCTGTTGTTACCCTCTAAACTATTTTAAACTATGGTACAAGTCCACACATTCGGGTTTTCCTCTGTTCGCCTTAATAATATTATTCTTGGCATCACTCATCATAGCTCACTTGGTATCCCCTCCACAGGAACGCTTCCTGACAGTGAAGAAAAATGACTCTGAGGACACACACGACTACAAGTGGTGGGTGCCGCTGACATACACAGGGGGAGACGACCCCAATTTCAACGAGACCCGGGCCAAGGTGTGGATGAAGGACTCTGAGACACACATCACCATCCCGTCCCTGCCCACCAAGGACCAGTGGGTCATCTTCAACCTGCAGGAGACGGGTTACTACAGAGTCAACTACGACCAAGACAACTGGAACCTGTTGATCCAGCAGCTCCTCACCGACCACCGAGTCATCAACACCATCAACAGAGCTCAGATCATCGACGACGCCATGGACCTCGCTCGAGCAGGTTAATGTCTTCCTTGTGTGTTCTCCGTCAGCAGTAGTGGTCTCTCTTCTTCATTAAGTCCCATTATAATAACTGTGCTGTTAACTTCACTGCTGGGGGGCGGGGGGGGGCACACACATTGGAACACTCGCATCTTCGTCTGCATTGACTGCAACTATTTTTTTTCTCTGGAACAAAGTGATCTCTCTCTCCATCTATCCATCAAGTTAACATCATTCCCAAATAAATGCTATTGGATAATTAACATATAACATGCAATTTGATGTAGATACCTTGGCAGAGTTAATAGTTTGAGCTTTATCGTCATCAAATTTTGATACAGCAACTGACATTATTTTTCATAAATCCAGTCTTCTTGTGCTTCCATTTTCTATTAAGATTCCGATTTTCCCACTTTTGTTTACTTCGATATGAAAACATGTTAACTTATGATATTGAAATCTGTGGGTTTAAAGCACCTAACCTTAACCAACCCTTCTCTATCTCCTTCCATAGGTCAAATAAGCTATGATGTGGCCCTGGGACTGTACAGTTACCTGGGCAACGAGGTGGAGTATGTACCCTGGAAGGCCGCTGTCAACAACCTTGCTTACCTACGGAACATGTTCTATCGTACTGGGAGTTATGGCGCCCTCAAAGTGAGCACTGAACAGTATAGTTTAACTAAGTGATACATAAATTTTAAGGTTATTGATGTTATAATGTCTTACTGCTTACCAACAATTACTGGTCTCTAAGTGTGCATTATAGTTACATAAATGCAATAGTCATCAACAATAAAAATTAAGAGAAACGCATCCTATCACGCACACACACACACACACACACACACACACACACACACACACACACACACACACACACTCACGGTATTGAGGCTATGCACAAATAACCACAGGATTCTTCTCCCGCCAGAACTACCTCTTGGATATGGTGGTTCAGCTGTACGATTCAGTTGGGTTCGACAACAGCCTAGACGACCTCCTGCTGGAGCAGTACAAGCGTAACACCGCCGTCGATTGGGCGTGTAAGCTGGGCCACAAACCTTGCCTCGACAACGTCCTCAACCTCTACCGCCAGTGGATGTTGAACCCACACAACGAGACGTAAGCTAATCCTGCCAATATGTTGAACTGTTTCTTAATACGTTGTAGGATGAACCATCGCCAAGCACTCATACAGAACTCAGAGCCGAGTTTCTCTCTTAAAAGTGGCGCCCCCGCAGTCTAGTGAGTGGGTTAAAAAAATTAAATACCTATTATATTGATTTTCGTGGCAAAATTAATATCAATATCCCCTTATTCTTTTTCTTCTTCCCCCTTCGATCAATAACACTTCCCTTGTGTATTCCAGCATAATCTCACCCAACCTCAAGTCTGTGGTGTACTGCCGGGCGATGGCAGCTGGAGGAGAAGAGGAGTGGGAGTTCGCCTGGGATCGTTACCTGAAGAGCAACGTTGGCTCAGAGAAGTCCCGCCTCCTGAGAGCTATGGGATGTACCAATAAACTGTGGCTCCTCTCAAGGTGTGTATCAGAACTAATGAGAATTCTAATCATAACCTAAGACCATCTGACAACATGCTGCAATACAATAAATGTTCTTTTAATAACGTATATAATTAGTATAATCATAATATTTAACTATAAACTATAATAAAACTATTTTATTGGATTAAACGAAGTTATTATCATCAAGCTAAATGCAGAGTCATTGTGTCTGTCGAGGAATACTAAGTTTCCTCCCCTTCAACAGGTTCTTAGAGATAGCCTTCAATACCGAGAGTGGCATCAGGAAACAGGACTCTCAGTTGGTGTTTAGTTCAGTGGCTTTCAACCCCATAGGTCGTCCCCTGGCTTTGACTTACCTCAATAACCACTGGAAGAAGATTTATGACTAGTGAGTTAACGTGTGGACGGTACCTCACACACACACACACACACACACACACATTACCTGACATAATGAAACCCTCTTTGGGATGGTGGTGAGACGAATTCCGACAAACAGATAAATAGATAAGATGAAATATATTCATGAGGATTACTTTCAATGCCATATTTATTTGCCTTCGATTTTTTTTACTTGTTTTCTTGTATTTGTTTCATTTGTTTGTTTGTCTTCCTGTACAGCTTCGGAGGGAAAGCCAAGTCGCACCTGATTAACTCTGCAATGTCTAACTTCAACACCGAGCAACAACTTAAAGAGGTAAATGTATTCTCCTTGTCTGTCTGTCTCTGTCTCTCTCTGTCTCAACTTGTTTTGCTTCTCTCTGTCTGGACCTGTCTCTTTCATTATCTCTGTTTTTCTTTCTGTCTCTCTCTGTTTACTTAAACAGACCAAACCTAAAGTAACCTAACCTAACCTAAATTTGAAGAAAGTGATATACAGTACAGTGTAATTTAAACATCAGGTGATTACATATATTGTTGGATTAAATGCTTCGACACAGATAGACCATAGTGGATATATATATATATATATATATATATATATATATATATATATATATATATATATATATATATATATATATATATATATATATATATATATATATATATATATATATATACACTAGCGGAATCGTCGCCCTCCGGGCGGCTCTTTCGCTAGGCCATGGTAGGACACCACCTTCCGGGAGGCTCCACATTGCCTCACTGTAGTGCATTAAGGTAGACCACATTTTTGGTTTTGCCATTAGCAGCAAGTATGTACAGATTTTTGCCAGTTCCCACTCTGGAGCATCCAACACAGAACTGTCCATGAGAGAAGCAAGGAAACACCAGGTTTAGGCCAACCATCTTTAGGGACTGTCCCTGGCTTTTGTAGATGGTCATGGCAAAGCTCACTTTAACCGGGAACTGAAGTCGCTTGGTAAAAAAACGTCCTCTCCATTAGCTTTTCCTGTCAGTATTGTAGCTTCCAGTACATGTGGCATCCTGTTCTTCTTGTGAGCGACTCGTCTCTCATTTTGAGTATGATGTCTCGTTTCTCAAACTCTTGACCGACAATCAGGATGGCTACTTCATCAACTACAGGAGCAATGAATCTTCTTTCATGTTCTCCCTTAGGGGTCGTGTCTGCTTTGATCCTGACTTTGTACTCGTCAGAAGGCATGTTTTCCAGGACATTTTTAAATGACTGTACATACATGTTGCGCTCATGCAGCATTTCTTGGATAGATAGGACAATGTCATGTCTGACATCTTGAATATTGCCACACTTGATAGTAGTCTGCTTTTCATGATCTCCCATGAAGAAGATTTGGAGGAACTTTGCCTGCTCATCTACCAGTGGTAAGAGGGATCCTGCTTTGTGATAGACTTGACCCTGGACTCTGAATGTTGGTATGTATCCGTGCTCACGAACTACTCTGGTAGCTCCAAAGGATGTCATCTGGAAGCATGAATTGTACTTCAGTATATTTTCCAAGAAGTGTTTTGACTCTGGTGTTGTTCCCAGCATGAGAGTCTTCAATGGTTGTGGTGGTTTTTCCAAATTTGGCAGTCGTACTTTCCCATGAGAGCAGCACAGTCCAGCAGATTCTCCTTTGTACTTCTTTGCACTGCAGTGTTCACATTTCTTATCCATGTTGGCAATGACAAGAGAGGGATACTTTTCATATTCTATCTCATTGTCATAGTTAAATGCTGCTCTTGCAAGTGGATACCACTGTGTATTCTTTCTTAGAATTCTGGATCCCGCAGCTCTCTGTCTATTAGCATTCAAACGAATTTCATACGTTTGATCATTTTCCAGAGAACGCCTTTCTGCTGTTTGCTTTCTGTCAGCATTAAGACGGGATTCCCTTTCCTGATCTGTTTCTGTGACCGACTGTCCGCTGTTCGCTTTCTGTTAGCATTAAGACGGGATTCCTTTTCCTGATCTGTTTCCTGTGACCGACTGTCCGCTGTTCGCTCCGGGCGGCTCATTCTCTAGCCCACGGTAGGACGCCACCCTCCGGGAGGCTCCACATTGTCTCACTGTTCAGTCTCCAAAACTTCTTCTTCCATCAATAGTTCATTAACGGTGTATGTAAGTTCCACCATGTTTTTCACTACAGCGGTACAGTAAAGTATATTTTTTTAGCATAAAACTGCTATTATTTTATTGTCAAATCATCACTACGTATAACATCATCCATCATCACTACATATAACACCATCCATTATCACTACATATAACATTTTCCATCATCACTACATATAACACCATCCATCATCACTACATATAACACCATCCATCATCACTACATATAACATTTTCCATCATCACTACATATAACACCATCCATCATCACTACATATAACACCATCCATCATCACTACATATAACACCACCCATCATCACTACATATAACATCATCCACCATCACTACATATAACACCACCCATCATCACTACATATAACACATCATCCATCATCACTACATATAACATCATCCATCATCACTACATATAACACCATCCATCATCACCACATATAACACCATCCATCATCACTACATATAACACCATCCATCATCACTACATATAACACCATCCATCATCACTACATATAACACCATCCATCATCACTACATATAACAACATCCATCATCACATATAACACCATCCATCATCACTACATATAACAACATCCATCATCACTACATATACACCATCCATCATCACTACATATAACACCATCCATCATCACTACATATAACACCACCCATCATCATTACATATAACATCATCCACCATCACTACATATAACACCATCCATCATCACTACATATAACACCACCCATCATCATACCATCATCATCATACATATAACACCACCCATCATCACTACATATAACATCATCCATCATCACTACATATAACACCATCCATCATCACTACATATAACACCATCCATCATCACTACATATAACACCATCCATCATCACTACATATAACACCATCCATCATCACTACATATAACACCATCCATCATCACTACATATAACACCATCCATCATCACTACATATAACACCACCCATCATCACTACATATAACATATATCATCATACATATAACACCATCCATCATCACTACATATAACACCATCCATCATCACTACATATAACATACATCCACCCATCATCACTACATATAACACCATCCATCATCACTACATATAACACCACCCATCATCACTACATATAACATCATCCACCATCACTACATATAACACCACCCATCATCACTACATATAACATCATCCACCATCACTACATATAACACCATCCATCATCACTACAGATCGGTAAAGTAGTTCCGAGATTCTCGTGCGGACACACATATACACAAACAAACACACAGACATACATATATATATATATATATATATATATATATATATATATATATATATATATATATATATATATATATATATAACTCTCTATGTCATTCTCAGGTGATGGATTTCGAGAAGAAACACAGAGACGACCTCGATGCTGCCTCAAGGAAAGTGCAACAAATAATTGAGAGGACGAAGAATAACATGGCCTGGATGGACGCCAATTATCAAACTATTGTCAACTGGCTGGAGCAGAAGGGTTATAGCTCCAAGCTCAGGAGTGTTTGGGTGGAACCACAACCATAAATGAACCAAGAACTCTGCCACCTCAATAACAAGACACATCACACTCTCAAGAAGATTGAAATTTAAGAAATGAGGGTTTTATGGGTGTTGTGATGCCAGCAAAGACTGGCTCACTAATAAGATATTCTTCTATTTTTTCCCTCCATGTCCAAATTTTCTTGACATGGGAGATGATCATGTTAGTCCTGAGTCAAGGCAATCAGGAGATGGTGGCTTTAGTATTCTGCATTCCACTTTTATCTTCTGTTTCCATTGTGAGAATTACAAAATCTCTCTTTATCGGCTCATACAACTGTTTTTTTCGTATCATCTCAGCTTTTTACACTTGATTCTTAAACACTCTAACCTTAATTATACCTTAGCTTATTTCACCTGATTCTGAACCACCCTAATCTAACCTACCCTAATCCTCCCCAGTCTTTAATCATCAAGTAAAATAAGCCAAGGTGGGATAATTTTCAGCTAATATATTATCTTTTCCCTTAATATTTTATACATATATTTCTATCTTAGGTACTATATTCCTCCTTATTTAATTACCTGATCTTCTCCAGGTAATTCAGGTTAGATAATAATAAAGACGACATTTTTGCTAATGTATTAATCGTGTATCCATATTAAATTGCTTATTATATAACACACGGAGAGAAGGAACATTACAGTAGTGTTCAGTATTTTTATTTTATTTTTTTGTATAAGAGAAGGTATCTCCTTTCTTGTTGTAATAAATTAGTGCAAAAAATCTCTCTCTCTGGGTCGGTTGTACGTCGAGACGATACAACCCAAACTGTAAATATATTGTTGATATTATATATTCCTGATATTTTACCTGTGTCTTGTTTCATTACACACCTGGGTTTATTATTTTAATCCCTTTACCAACACCTGTGAACCTGATATAGGATAAGTCAGTTTACTCTTACTTTACCAAATAATATCACGTTGTTGGGATAATAATCCTTTTAAGTCAGGTAAGGATGATTACTTTTATACTGTCATTATTATTGTTGTTTTACTGATAAGATTAGAACATCTGTATGTTGTGTAATGGAACTTTAATTTTCGTTCTTTTATGTCTTTAGGTAATTATAATGCCGAGAATTCGAGCGATGAGAATTCTAGGCCTATGTAATTTCGACCAGACATTATCCCAACCAGATTTTATCCCAAGACAATATCCCGACCAGACATTATTCCGAGAAGACATTATTTAAAGAATACATTATCCCGAGAAGACATTATCCTGACCAGACATTACAGCCACAGTATACATAGCTAGTTATATACCTACTCATATACAGTACACCGCACCCACTAATACACTATGTAAAGAATATACAAAGCTAATTTATATACCTACTAATATACACCTAATATACTGTGTGCTACACCCACTAATACACACTACACCCACTAATACACACTACACCCACTAATACACACTACACACTACCTTGTGGGTAAAGAAACACAGAGACAATATTCATTTACTAGTTGTATACTTCAAACATTTGTGTTGATACCAACATCATATACACAAAGTTTAAGTTACGTCTTACATACAAATACTTTAATTAAGTCAAGGTATACACCGTGATACATTCGGATAAGAAAAAAAAACAAAGACTTCACACAGAGTAACCTTTTTTAACTTAACAATGTACAAAATGACACCTGCCATGGTTAGTCAGTAAATTTAACAACGGATAAATAACAATATAAAAAATCAACAGGAAATTAAAATTTACAAATATTTCACGCAAGCTCGAAAGTTATATGTTTACATGGACACTTGCAGCCGTGGTGAGCTCAACTAAATATTCCAGTCGAAGGGGATACTGTCCTAAAAAATATCCATGGTACAATGGTACATCCACGTGTTTATTGTTTAGCTAAAAATGGAATCATGGTTCCTCGTAAACAAATTCTTCCTGTCTATTTCATCATAACATGACCGCAGGGGACACCATGTTAGTTGTATATTGTACTATGAGAATAACTATGACAAGTGAGTCGGTAGGTATACACACCCTATACACATCTGTATAGATATCACATTCACTGTATAGATTTTTTTATCTAACGCGTGTATATTCATCGACAAGCTACAGCAATCAGCTTCTACATGGCTTTATACAACACACTGGAATGATTTGAGGGAAGACGTGTGCTGTTGTGGTGTGTCTGGTGGTGAGGCGCCCGTCTGAGGAATGATACAGACTCAGCCTTTCCTCTATGTCAGTTAATACTGAACTGACATTATGAGTCTATCTTCACTAATGCAGGACCCCACATGTACCTTCATCAGGTGGAAGTGAACAATAAATCCGGATTGCAACAAAGAACCCGGTATCAGAACGCACCTCTGTTTACAACTTTTTAGCTGGGTGGCGCTGAGGAGTCACTCAGGTAGGGAGGACGTGCTGATTGGTCAATCGTTCAGGTGAGGTGAACGTCACTGAGTTTACAAGAGGAGTCGTTCAGGGAAGATGTGTTGTTTTTCCGATGAGGCGATGATTACGGGAGGGGGTGCCGAGCCGTTCAGGTGAGGAGGTGAAGTAATCAGTCGTTCAGGCGAGGAGGTGAAATAATCAGTCGTTCAGGTGAGGTGAATTAATCAGTCGTTCAGGTAAGGAGGCGACGTAATCAATCGTTCAGCTGAGGAGGTGAAGTAATCATTCGTTCAGGTAAGGAGGTAAAGTAATCAGTCGTTCAGGTGAGGTGAATTAATCAGTCGTTCAGGTAAGGAGGTGAAGTAATCAATCGTTCAGCTGAGGAGGTGAAGTAATCAATCGTTCAGGGAAAGAGGTGAAGTAATCAGTCGTTCAGGTAAGCAGGCGAAGTAATCAGTCGATCAGCTGAGGAGGTGAAGTAATTAGTCGTTCTAGGCGCTGCTGAGTTTGGTGGAGTAGCCGTTCTCATCCAACCAGTTGACAATGACGTCATAGTTGCCGTTCATCCAGGCTATGTTGATCCTGGTCCGTTCAATGACCTGCCGAATGGCCCGGGAGGCGGAGTCCAGGTCCTCTATGTGCTCCCGACGGAACAACCGCAGCTGCAGGTCACCGGTCACGACGAGAGTTAGTTATCTAGGTAGTTACAATCTGACTCATCTAGATGGTCATATAATTACAGCTCAACTAATTAATGTACTTCTACTAATACTAATATTAATAAATATACTGATCTACTACTACCACAACCACTACTACTACTACTACCACCACTACTAATACTAATAATAATAATAATAATAATAATAATAAGCCAGCGCCCACTGCCCCGTAAGAGTCTATAGTGACGTGGACGACAGAACAATTATCAAGGCTCAGCATGACAAACACTTGAAGCATAACATCTCTGAGGATCTCGGGACTACACAGGTTCCAGAGAGAGAGAGTCTAGCCTAGATCTATATAGGGTGTTTAAGCCATAGTGGGAAAAGATATATAATTCACTGAGCTTTTTTCATTCTTTTAATTAATTTTGAACCAATTTCCCTTAATACAGAGACGTGGTTGGTTCTCCTGGGCAAATAAACGCTTCCAGCTTTTCATTCTCAACAGAAAACGGAATAATTTAGACTACAGACGGCAACATTTAATATGTGTAAATACACTTGGTTCTGAAATTGGCTTTGATCGTGGAAGACATCTTGTGGGTAAGTAGGAGTTAATGATGGTGTACGAGTATGTTCAGTCTTTATGGTGGTAATGGACGACTGTGCCTGTAAACACCATAGCTTTGTTTATAATGACGTCACTACGTATCACTGGCCCAGAGGTTATATCAGACGCTCTACTGCAGATCACTAATTCAAGATTATAGTGAAAATATCTAATAAAAACTATGATTTACCACAACGTTAATGATCTAGTTGTTTTGTATTATCACTATATATTGACGATAGATTCGGTGGTGGTCTGGGAGGCGGAGTTATGTTAGTCTGAGAATGAAAATAACATTTTTTCTCTCCACATACCACCACGAAGACGCTGGCAGGCTGAGGGACCCATCAGTTATGCCCGGAACGCGACGCACTTACTCGAGGCTCCTACGCAATTACGCCGCCTAGATTAAAAGCTTAAACGAATATTCTAAATGATTAAACACAAACACAGACACTACTGGTAAATATATTGTGGTGGTAATCTAACGCATCAAGAAGAGAAACGTCAAAGAATATTAGGACTCCATGTTGTGGCGCGCGGGAAAATGGCGGAAATTGAGTCGCGTTAATTAAAAACAAAACAAAATGGACATAACCCCTAATGTTATTTGTTTGACTTAAATCCTGTATGACTTACCTCCTTCAGCTGCTGTACAGTGTTGAAATAACTGGTAACAGATTTGATGAGGCGAGACTTGGCCTTCCCGTAGCTGTAAAGTAAACACACAAGATTTATTTCAGTGACATGTATAAGAGAAAAACAACAACAATGATCACCTGAAGATTAGACACCTCAACTTATATCACCTGAATAACAACCACGCTAACCTAACCTAACCCTCTCAGGCAGTGTTATAGGGTAATTGTTCTTCAGGTAATTCTAAAATATCACTCTTGTAATAATAATTCTATCTTCTATGGGATTCTATGCCATAAAGGCCGTCTCTTTGTAAGTCCGTCAGCAGGTAACCTCAACAACAAGCTAGAACGCACGCCATTTATACCGTATACCTCTGAACTAATCCTAGTGAACTCTTGTCTATGTTATTATCACCTAGCAGATCTTACTCATGATGTCATCAACACCTGGTACTGACAGACAATCACCGAGCAGAATGAACACATGCTTGTACAGTACTCACAACTCAAAGATGGCGTCCCATTCGTCCTGAAGGAAGCTCCAGGCAAGGGGACGCCCTACTTCGTTAGCGGCCACGGCGCCGAACACCCTGAAGGCGTCCTGCTTCCTGATGCCACTGTCGGAGCTGAAGGCCATCTCCAGGTACCTGAGGGAAGGAGGTCATGACAGAAACTGGTCCCCTGTTGGCATGGAGTTAAGACAACAGAGACTCACCAGCACAACGGTGGTGTCTGATAATGGATAACTGTCGTGTATATCGACGGAGCCCTGGACCTAAGGATCCCCCAGTGCTAGAGCCCCGTGACGGAGCCCTGGACCCAAGGATCCCCCAGTGGTGTTAGAGCCCTTGATGGAACCCTGACACAAGGATCCCCATGTTAGAGCCCCGTGACGGAACCCTGACACAAGGACTCTAGTGTTAGAGGAGCCCCATGACGGAGCCATGGACAAGGGATCCCCCAGTGTTAGAGCCCCGTGACGGAGCCCTGACCCAAGGACCCCCAGTGTTAGGAGCCCCGAGACGGAACCATGGCACAAGGATCCCCAGTGTTAGAACCCCGTGAGCCCTGACCCAAGGATCCCCTCAGTGTTAGAGCCCCTGTGACAGAGCCCTGGACCAAGGATCCCCAGTTAGAGCCCCGCTTTGAACCATGGACCCAAGGATCCCCAGTGTTAGAGCCCCGAGACGGAACCATGGACACAAGGACCCCAGTGTTAGAGCTCCCCGTGACGGAGCCCTGACCCAAGGATCCTCAGTGTTAGAGCCCCCGTGACGGAGCCCTGGACACAAGGATCCCCCAGTGTTAGACCCCGTGACGAAACCATGGACCCAAGGATCCCCTAGTGTTAGAGCCCGTGCCGGAGCCTGGACCCAAGGATCCCAGTGTTAGAGCCCGTGACGAGCCCTGGACCTAAGGATCCCCCAGTGCTAGAGCCCCGTGACGGAGCCCTGGACCCAAGGATCCCCCAGTGACGGAGCCCTAAACACTGTCTGTTAATTTCACTTGAACTCTAGTGCAAAGATGGTGTCGAAGTTGATGCGCGACTGTAAGGTAACTAACTATATGAGTTGTCTTTCCTGGGAGAAAAAACCACCGTCACTCAACTACAGAGAGAGAGAGAGAGAGAGAGAGAGAGAGAGAGCAGCTCGCGTCACTCACCGGGAAAGAATCCACACTTGCTTGGTACAGCCCATGGCGGAGAGGAGACCGTTCTTCTCCGACCCCACGTTAGACTTCAAGTACTGAGACCAGGCGAAGTTCCACTCTTTCTCGCTTCCCTCAGCGATGGCGTGACAGTAAACCGTTGACTTGAGGTTAGGGGAGATGATGCTGGAGGTGGTGTGAGTGTTAGTGATGGCTTATACTCTATGTCTTTCTTATAACTCATCTATTAAAATATGTTTGTTAGTCTACAGGATCAACTGAAGATTAGGCTCTTCTAACTCAATCTAACCTAACGCTAATCTAACCTAACCTAAGGCTAATATAACTTAATCAAACCTAAAGTTAACCTAACCTTTCCGCCAATCTAACCTACCCTAACGCCAATCAAATCTAACCGAACGCTAAATTAACCTAACACTACCCTAACTTAATCCTAACTTAATTTAAACCCCTCAGGTATAGCATTAGGGTGTTTAATCATCAGGTGACATAAACAAATGGTCTAACTTTCGAGTGATAAGATCTATATATATATATATATATATATATATATATATATATATATATATATATATATATATATATATATATATATATATATATATATATATATATATATATATATATATATATATATATATATATATATATATATATATATATATATATATATTTCTTTCAATTTGTTCTATGATCTATTTTCCTGACACGAAAAATACTCCATCTCCATCAATTAGGCATCAAGGTGATTGTGTTCTCTACCAATCACCTTTCATGTTCTTAATTCTCTACATGCTGATTGGTAGATTGGTTCCTGAGTTGGGTATGTCTTGAATACTCTTATGATAAAGGATACGTGTGTCAAGACTGCACCTAGAATAGATTTTAAGTGTATTTGGGTAATAAGTGTTTAAATCTACCATAATTTAGGTAATTATAGTTAATTTTAAGTAAATTTGACAATAAAGTAATAAAGTACTCAAATCTATCATAATTCAGGTAATCGAAGTAAATTTAAGTAGATTCGGTAATAAAGTTCTTAAATCTAATATAATAAAGACAATTGAAGTCTTTGGAGTACCTGCTGTTTTCTGGGTTATTCATCCAGTGTGCGTAAATGGCGGCAGCGTTTTGGAGGCAGTCAGGGTGTTCCAGCTCGCACGCCCACGACAACGCCTTCTGCCGCTTGTACTGGTCCAGTAGAGGGTCGTCTCTGCTGTCGTCAAACCCTACTGAGTCGTACAGCGGCACCAGGATATCCAGCAGGTAGTTCTGTGGTGCGGGGAGACGGATTATAGAACAGGAAATGCAATCGAACGCGTAATCACTTTTTTTTTACACTTTAAAGAGAATGACATTGTTCTGAGGCCTTTGATTAATTAAGCTATGTCCATTTTCTAAGGTACTTTTCGCTCTCTCTCTCTTCAATCGTCCATTTTTAAGATTCGAAAATGTAGCAACCCTGCATCTCTCTCTCTCTCTCTCTCTCTCTCTCTCGTTCTTCAATTATCGACAAAGAATATCTCCCTCACTATTTCAACACACATTGTTCATTACCTCCACATTCTCACACACTCTTATATTTACATCTGACACCCCTCATCAGGTTGGTGGAGCCACAAGAACAAATTTTCTTCCCTGCAGTTGTAGCACAAGTCAAACCTTTAGTCTAGAATGCGCTGCCACTTCAGCTAGGGAGGAGGGGAGGGGAGAGGGAGTTATCTGGCCGTCATTAACAACTAGTCGATAGGGAACAAGAATAACTCGAAGTGTCTTACCTTGAGGGCGCCGTAGCCTCCTGTACGGGCTAACATCTCCTTAAGGTAAGCCAAGTTGTTGATAGCTGCCGCCCATGGTACGAATTCTGTCTCCTTGCCGAGGTAGTTATAAACACCGAGGGCCGTGTCGTACGCTACCTGACCTGCAACGGAAGGTACTACATGTAAACAATGAAAAAATGATCTTTATAATTTTGTGTTAGACATTATGATATAGTCCAAGGACAAAAATAGATGTCAATATGATGTAACAATTCTATCTCTATCATTTATAATTTTCAATAATTTATTTAGGTAATTACTAGGAACGTGAATGAGACAGAGAAGAATGTAGGGTGAGCGGAGTGCTGTATTGAGTACGTCGTGTTCCTAAGACTAGCTGTGTGAGGCACGTCACCCCCATGTCCGCTCCGCCGCTAGCTGGTCAAACATGAGGGTCCACATTGCGGTTCAGAAAACGTAGAGTTTTTTACAGACCCATTAAATCTTTGAGAACTTATACCTACTATCATTCAGATATTTTTATCTCGATTATTTGCAGACTGAACAGCTGATAACTCATTAACAACGAAAAGTTAGAGGAGCAGTTATCGGCGTCGTAGGTAATGAATCAATATTTAAAACAAAATTTGGGTGACCTTATTCAAAATTCAGGGGGAATTTATTTTATGCACGCATTTTGTTTAGTTTTCTTTTTTTCGTTTTCTACAGGAGAGACTAAGAAAGATGAGAATTTTCCAGTTGTTTGGTGGAACTTTCATAATGTCTCTTACACGGGAGAGATTTCGTCCTTGGTTTAGAGTATAGAAAAACAATCTTTACCATTCTGCTTTATCCATCAATTATTTTCATCAATTCATTCACACTCATTCACAATGAGAAATACAAAGTTGAATTATACTTCATCCCTTTTAAGTTGTAAAAGTCAATCCCATTCTCTGAAACCTGCAACTGGGAGAGGTAGACTATAATATTTTATAGTAGTACTAATATCAGGTGGTCACATCTCGCACCTCACGTAAATATTAACGCCACACCACCATAGTAAATGCGACTAACTATAGATGCTACTGAATATTGTAAGTACTTAAGCAATTACGGCTATATCGCCCCGACTGACTGCAGAGGGAAGGCGGGACCAACCTACCAGCCTTGGCGAGGTTCATGGCGTCGTCGATGATCTGAGCTCTATTGATGGTGTTGATGACTCGGTGGTCGGCGAGGAGCTGCTGGATCAACAGGTTCCAGTTGTCTTGGTCGTAGTTGACTCTGTAGTAACCCGTCTCCTGCAGGTTGAAGATGACCCACTGGTCCTTGGTGGGCAGGGACGGGATGGTGATGTGTGTCTCAGAGTCCTTCATCCACACCTTGGCCCGGGTCTCGTTGAAATTGGGGTCGTCGCCCACTGTGTACGTCAGCGGCACCCACCACTTGTATTCGTGTGTGTCCTCAGAGTCTGCTTCTTTGACCAATAAGAACCTCTCCTGTGAAGCCAACGAGGATTTTAGTAAGTTTAGTCCATGACGATAAGATACAGTGTTAGACGTTCGTAAGAAGACGTAGACTGTGATATACTTATGATAGAAACACTGCTCTGAGTCTGGCGGTCTCGGGGTGTGTCAAGCTGAGTACTCTGGAACTTATATACAAACTGATTCTTAAAATAAAGTTAAAAATGATACTATTACTCCCTACTGCTACTATTAAAATTAACAATAGTGATAAGGATGACATCTAGAAAGGCGTTCACGAAAGCATTTAGTAGCGCCCTCTTGAGAAATTTGACCGTGAACATTGAGTTTGACTCCTGATCTTCTTTCTATAAATAAAACTTGTTTTCCACTAAATCACTTAATAAAAGTTCTCAAGTTTGCAAAATATTTTGGAAAAGGTTACTTGTGTTCTGTAAACATTGGAAGGGTGGAGAGGTTGATACGTTTTTTTTAGACCAAAACATTATTTCTGTTCCCTCACCACATCAGCTTATCTCACCTGAGAGACAGTAGCCGAGGTACCGTCTGGGCTCCTCTCCACCTTGATGACGGGGTAGCCCATCTGCAGCGTCCAAGTGTCCATGATGGTCTTAACAGTGAGGTCTTGAGGCAGCGTGTCGTCCTGGTGGGCCGCCGTCGTCAGTTGCCGCCACAGGTCGTCCTGCTCTGCGTTCTCGTACTTACTGCCAACCAAAACAACAACAACACGTCAACTACACTTAAGTTAAAACCCTTTTCATCGGCTGTGTCTTTCAGGAACAATATAAACATAAACAAATTGATAGATCACAAGTAAGACTCACAAGGCGTCGAGGTAGTTACTGAGGCCCTTCCTGAAGGTGGCCTCCGTCAGGAAGTGGTTCATCATCCGGATGATAGACGCCCCTGGCAGGAGTAAAAGGTTTAATGATTGATTCTTACTATATGAAAACTCCTCTTGATTCAGAATATCATAGATGTAAATTATACACGAAAGTATATATACCATTTTCATTGAGACAAAGAGCTGTCATCCCTATATGTGCTTTGTAAGTGTAAGTAATAAGTGTACCTTTATATCTAAGTATATAGGTAGACATTATCTCTCATCTCTCACCTTTAGCGTAAGATATTCTGTCGAAGATCTGGCTTATCTCGTCAGGGTGGCCGACGGGGATACTGATGGGGTGAGAAGACTCGAGGCTGTCCAGACTGAAGACGATGTGCATCTCGTTCAAGACAAACTGTTCCATCACCTTCCACGTCGGCTCCGCCTACACCCACCCGAGAGTCACTTTAAGGTATTGTGTTTATAAGACTCACAGCAGAGACTCAAACAAAACTCACATAAGAGACTCACACAACACAGATTCCTACAACAGACTCACACAACATACAAATTCACACAACACAGAATCACACAGAAGACTCTCATAGCAGACTCACACAACAGAGACTGAAATAAGACTCACAGAAGTCGTACACAACAAAGACTCGAACAAAAGACACACACAACAGACTCAAAGAAGACTGGAAGAAGACTTACATAACACACACACACACACACTTACATGGTTGATCCCGATATACTCGACGTAAGAAGCGAACCCTTCGTTAAGCCACAGATCAGTCCACCAGACCGGGGTGACCAAGTTCCCAAACCACTGGTGAGCCAACTCGTGCGCCACCACCGCCACCACGTACTGCTTGTTGGAGGCGGCGGACACTCGGGAGTCATACAGCATTGCCGTCTCTCTGTAGGTGATGGTGGTTGGTGGTGAGGGTGGTGGTTGGTGGTGATTGGTGAGGGTGGTTGGTGGTGGTGGTGGATGGTGATTGGTGATAGTGATGATGATGAAGATGATGATGGAACTACTACTACTACTACTACTACTACAGCGTAGATGTCTCATTGTAGGTGAGGCTGATAATGTTATCTTAAATTGTGTACCTTAAAAAAAGCTCAAACAATAAAATAATCCAAGTGTACCTATAGGTACCTAAGTGTACAAATATGTACCTAAGTGTACCTATATGTACCTAAGTGTACCTGAGTGTCCCAGGCAGCAAGACTCTACATGAGGTACAGTACAGGTGTTTGTCTCGTCATCTGAACCAACATTTGTTTATAGCATTGTTGGGGAGATTCTGAGTCGATGTTAAAATGTGAAGAAGAAAAAACTTATGTATACCTTGGATTTTTTTACCAATGAAAGTTTTTACAGTGGATATGGAAGTCCTTTACTCTAGTGGTTTAAGAATTCAATATCAATATGTAAAATATTCAAAATTCTTAAGCCATTAATTAGCAAGACATAAAGAAGACATCATTATATCTCAGATGAGAGGTGTTTTGATGATCTCACCTGACACTCACATCTACCTGGCACTCACCTGTAGGTTATGAGGCCCCAATTCTCCATGGCTCCAGCAGAGAAGTCCGGGATGGCGATCATGTCCTGCTTGGGTAGTGGGTAAGACTGGTTGAAGTAGTCCTCGAAGTGTGTGAGGATGGCAGGACCCACCTGAAGGGAGTACTTCGCCTGCTGCAGGGCTGACTCCCTCGCCCACACTGTCCAAGTTTACCCTAATTATTATTTACATATCATTAATGACAACATTACACACACCTTCACTACCTGTTATTGAACCTTTATAAGCGTAATAAATGTTTGTGTGTCTACAGTGTTTACCGTGAGTCTTGGTGTTTGTGTTTACAGAGTCTCTTGTGGAAGTAACACACTCTCATCCCTCGCCTTGGAAAGTCTTAATGTCTTCTTTAAGGACTCTGTAAACACACTCATCAATGGACTCTGTAAACACACTCATCAATGGACTCTGTAAACACACTCATCAATGGACTCTATAAATACACTCATCAATGGACTCTTTAAACACACTCACCAATGGACTCTATAAACACACTCATCAACCTGTAGAAACTTTACCCCACTTTCAAAAATTCCATCTAAAGAACAGGTGTGTCTATTCAAACAAATTTTATTATTAGTGTTTACCATAACCAGTATGAAATCCTTACTGATAACTACTAGTGATGTATTTCTGGTTTGTCTATCTTCTACTGTCAATGAAAACATCTCAAATGTATTAGTAACGAGAATAAAATCAAGAGAATAAATATTATCTACCTCTGAATAGCGTTTTGTTGTTGGTTGTGGTGCTGAGGTAAGCGAAGTCAGACACTACGAAGGCAACGAGGTAGGTGGACATGGGGACGCTGGTGTCATAATGGTCCCACACCCACCCTTCTTCATCCTCCCTGCAACACAGTTATACCTAGTCTTTCCATCAACCCTAAATTATTCTCAGGTAAATAGGTAACAACAGGCACAGGTAATAACAGGTAGGGAGTCAATCTCGTGAGTAATTAAAATAATACTCAGGTGGTGGTGTTTCGGGGGGAAATAAATTATATCAAGGCATAAATGAAGTATTGAGTTATGTGTGAATATTTATGTGATTGTATTTCCTGAGTTTTATTTAACTTAGAGAAGGTGTGTGTGCGTGTGTGTGTGTGTGTGTGTGAGTGTGTTTGTCATTTAGTTTTATGAAGTATTCTAGTTCTTGAGAAATTGATCCAAACATACACTCGGACACATTAACGGTATGTGGGATTGATGCTCACACGGGTATGGTCTCGATGATGGGCATGTTGGATATAGAGGACATGTTGGTGGAGCGGGCCAGGTACACCTCGAAAGTAGCCTTCAGTCCTGGCTCGTCGAAGCAGGGGAAGGCTCGCCGCGCGTCTGTCGCCTGGAACTGTGTCACTGCCAGCATCCTGGAATGTCAGAGAGAGAGAGATAAAACATGGGACAAATAATTATATCCGTCTATCTAATGATCCATCCATATAATTCAGACACAGATTCAAAGCCATGATAAAAGGAACACCTGGAGGGTCCACCTCACCTCCGCAGCAGGTCAACTCACTTCTCGGTACCGTCGGCGTCCCTGTAGGTGGATCTGTAGAAGCCGTGTAACTGATCATTGAGGTAACCCGTGAACTCCATGGAGAGGACGTACTTGTGGCCCTGCTGCAGCTCCTCCTCCAGGTGTGCCAGGTAGAACTGTCTCTCATGGTCATACAAGTGCTTTATGACCCTTAAACCAGGTCCATCTAGGTCACCTGAGGGCGCAACCTGGAACACACACACACACATTCGTTGACACCTGAGGAGTATATGAGTCAATCTTGTTTCCTGGGTTACTGATTATATTATTTCACCTGTGGGAGAATAAAACCAGTACTGTCCAGTTGATAAGAGTGTGGCTCTGTGAGATGTGAGAGACAGGAAAACCGTAGCAAAGCAGACGAACTAATATAATGATAATAATAATAATAATAATAATAATAATAATAATAATAATAATAAGAAGAAGAAGAAGAAGAAGAAGAAAATAATAAAAATAATAACAACAGAAACAACAACAACAACAATAATAATAATAATAATAATAATAATAATAATAATAATAATACATATATAATAACAATACTAATTTCGCAGTACTATTTATTATCTCCCTGGGCTTGTCCTGTACAGTACAGCTCACATTATCAAGTAGAAATGTTTATAAGCAGATGATAAACCCCCACCGCCCCCCTCCCCCCCCCCTTCCCCAACTACTCTGCCTCCCTCTCAGAAACCATCATTAAGCTGTGTCTCGGTCACTGCCCTACTGAGACACAGTAATTCACACTCCAACCGCTGTCTCAAGTAATACCATGGTGAATAATGGAACAATTTATACTCACTCTGATTGTCTCATTCTTAGTGATGATGTCGGCGATGTGGAGGGTGACGTTGGAGGTTGATTCCAGCACCTCCATCTCCACCTCCACGTAGCCGAGGATGCTGAAGTTGCCGTTGATGAGTGGCTGAAGTTTGACCAGGTAGTGGAGGGGCTTCAGAGTGTTAGGGAGACGCACATCTATGTCCTCCTGAAAGGGTTCCCCCGTGGTGGTGGTGGTGGTGGTGAAGGGGATGGTGGTGGTGGTGGTGATGATGGTCTTAGTCTTAGTCTTGGTACCTGAAGGTGGTTTTTTGCGGGTGACGTTGGCTCTGGTGGTGGCCGGTCGCTTGGTGGGGTTAGTGCGTCTCCTGGTCATCACCGGCCTCCTCTCTGTTGACTGTCAGGGAACAAAACATGAGACACCTAAGGCGTGAGGACGACCCTCACCAACACCAGTCATGTATTGACAGTTACATCTATTATATACTGGATCTTATGTGAGTTAATGATAAACAAAAGTTCAATGGTGATTCTCTTTACTCTCCTATCTGCTTAGTTAAGGAACATTTAGGAACATTTATCAACCTATACATCAATCAGTCTGTATTATTTGCATGGATATATATATATATATGCAAGTAAATCACTGTAGGTGCGAGTGATCCAGGTATATGCTGATAACCACAAGGAAAGAAGAAAACACGAAGTTCCCAAGCGCTTTCGTGTAATTCACATCTTCAGGGGTGAGTACAGACTGTCTGTACTCACCCCATGTGAATTTTCTTGTTCTTTCCTTGTGGGTATATATATATATATATATATATATATATATATATATATATATATATATATATATATATATATATATATATATATATGTGTGTGTGTGTGTGTGTGTGTGTATGTGTGTGTGACCCGAGAAACAGACCTGAAGAAGCTGTGCAAGAGATAATACGCGAGAGAAGAAAGAAAAAAGGAAGGATACAGAGAAAGAGATAAAAACAGTTAAAGAACAAGAGAAAGGAAGACTGGTGACGAAGCCGAGGCTGTAGGAGAATCTCACCGGCGTCCTGGGCACCAACAAGGACTCCTGTGAGCCGACCCTCTCCTGGGGGGCGTAGTGGTAGACGAGGAGCCCCGTGGCCACCAACCCACTCACAAAGAAAACCCCCAGCAGGACGGCCACGCCCCTGCTGACGTAGCAACCTTTACTCTTCCCGAAGGAGATGACGTGTTCTGGGTGGCTGCCCTCCATGGCCAGCAACTCTCCGGCACGGCGGGAGCCTGTCATGCCACGTCCTCTCTCGGTGTCTGAGGGAGGAAAGGCAGGTAGGTCAGTGACCGTAGTGTTGACTTTATTAATAACACTAATTATATGTTAACATGTAAATTGTTTATTATGATGATGCTTGTTTACACACACACACACACACGAACACACACACACACACACACACACACACACATACACTACTACAACTACTTTGTTGTCACTCAGAATCGAGTATGACGATCATCCAGCTATGATACAATGATATGAGTTATTAAGGATATCACCTTCGTTGGTGAGCTCTGAGATGTCTTGAGAGGCCGATACGGGACCGGTAGGATTGTCCACAGATGTTGCACATGTGAAGGGCTACATCTAGTGCAGGAGGGGCGGCGGCAGCGTTTTTCTGGCGCTTGTCTGCCACGTTATGCAGTGGGGCTAACTCGAAAGTATTAACACCTTCTCGTGTGGTGCTTCTCCAAGCGTTATGGTGTGGAGTGATTGTCTCCCAGGTGAGGGAGTCGAATTGGCACTTCTTCAGGTTTGTCTTAAGACTTTTGGAGGTGTAGGAGTTTGATGATGATAAAGAGTATAGTGAGCTGGATGATGGTTGCGCATGAATTAATTTATGCGGTGAGGCAGGAGCGCAGGCAGCAGCCACACATCTTGGCTCTCCCCTTTCCTGATCCAGTGGTGCAGCAAGCTGCAACAACTGGGACAGGGAGAGTTGCAATGGCCTGCCGATCGTCAAGTTAGTTAGGTTTCGCCGAAGTAGCCTGTTCATCCTGTATTGCCTTCACCCGCCATTCTAACCGTTGGGTTCCCATGTTGGACACCTCTTCCGCATATTCTGCCATTGGGGTCGTACTGGAGCTCTGTAAGCAAGGCTGCCTGATGCGGGGCTCCACGGCAGATTTTTCATTCTGGATTTACTCCCATAGCCTTATACCAATCAAGGTTAATCCGCAATGTCGACAACACACCTCAACACAACACGGTGATCTACAACACAACACGGTGGTCTAGAACACAACACCGTGATCTACAACACAACACAACACAACTCAACACATCACGGTGGTCTACAACACAACACAACACGGTGATACACACACAGACACACACACACACCACCACCACACATTCCCAGAAGAAAACATTTCCGTTAAAATTTGCGACTGACTTCCCCGAAATACACCCCGGAGAGTAAATATTTCCCCGCCACAGCCACAGCGGCGGGGAGAAAACGCGGCCCTTGATAACAAAGTTCCGCGGATACTGACGACTGGCTGTGTCTTGCTCCCCATCAATGGTTATTCTTCCCTGCACCTCAGTCTTCCTTCCCTCTCACTCAATCACCTATAAATCATTCCCTATTCTTCCCCTGTCCCTATCATATTTCCCCCTCTCGCTTCTTCCTTGTTTTTCTCTCTCTTCCTCTTTCTTCTTCTTCTTCTTCTTCGTCTTCTTCTTCTTCTTCTTCGTCTTCTTCTTCGTCTTCTTCTTCTTCTTCTTCTTTTTATTCTTAGGTTAGCCGATAGCGTTTATTCATCAGGTGAAATAAGCTTTGGTGTCTAATCTTCAAGTGATTAAGCTAAAAAACTCACACCTGTGTGACAGACAGCTACTCACCTGTAACATTCACACACTAACATCACCCTGTAAAAAAAAATCCCTCTGGTCACGTGGTCTGTCAGCGAGATAGTGTCAGGTGGGAACATTATGTAACAAACAGCTCCTGCACCAGACTGGCCAGTGATAGGGTGTGGCGAGGTGTGGGCCACCGACTCCGCCTGCCAGGTGAGGAGAGCGGCAGGTGAGTAGCAGGTTAGTTTCCCTCCTGCTGTAAGTGGCGTCATTCACCACACGACTCCTTTTATCAGTGAATTAATGTGTTTCCTCCCGGCCATTCTCCTAAGGCGTAGGAGAGGGGTGATACAGCCTTATATATAGTTGCTGAAGAGCCAGGGTACATTTAATAATACTAAGGTTTTAGGTAATCACTTGAAGATTAACCCCTCCCAGCTTATTTCACCTGAAGATTAGTCCATCCAGCTTATTTCACCTGAAGATTAACCCCTCCCAGCTTATTTCACTTTAAGATTAGTCCTTTGCTAAGACTTTAACAATAACATCGCTTTATTTACCTCACAAGATGCTCAGGTCAACTTTATTCAGAATAAAAGGCGTATAAGAGTTAACGACCCAATGAAACGGATAAATTTTACTCACACTGAAGCAACGAACCAACAGTGAAACGAAGTAGTATTTAATTACGTTCATTAAAACTATCTTTAACACTTTATAACACACTAAAGCAGTATAGACACTTAACACTTACACTTAATAAACAGTAAGTAATAACACATGAAACAACACTGACTTCAAGTGTATCACAACGAAGCAGTGTCAACCCCCCGGCCCACCCCCTCGCCCGCCCCCTGCTGCCTCAACACCACGAAGCAGTGTCAACCCCCCCGGCCCACCCCTCGCCCGCGCCCCCTGTTGCTCAACACCACGAAGCAGTGTCAACCTCCTGGCCCTCCATCCCCTCGCTCCGCCCCCTGCTGCTCAACACCACACGTAGAAGCAGTGTCAACCCCGGCCCACCCCCTGCCCGTCTCCCCTTGCTGCCTCAACACCACGTGAAGCAGTGTCAACCCCTGCCCCCCCTCGCCCGCCCCCCTGCTGTCTCAACACCACACGAAGCAGGTCAACTCTGGCCCATCCCCCCTGCCTGCCTCTTGCTGCCCTCCTCAACACCACAGAAGTTATGTCAACCCCCTGGCTCCACTCCCCTCGCTGCCTGCCCCCTGCTGCAAGGCCCTCAACACCACGAAGCAGTGTCAACCCCCTGGCCCATCCTTGCCCGCCCCTGCTGCACTTTTAACACACCACGAAGTAGTGTCAACCCCTGGCCCACTCCCCCTCACCCGCCCCCTGCTGCCCTTGCTAACACCAGCCAATAATATTAAGCGTAGTAATAGTGCTCTGTCTGGTCCGGACTGCGTCGTTGTGCTGTGTGGACGTGCGCATGGAACATTGATACTGCTGATGTTGACACTGGTACATAGCTACTTCCCTTCTCCCTCCTCCTTCCCCTTTTATGTCCTCTCCCTCCTCTGGGTCCATCCTTCCTCTCCCTTGTTCTCTTACCCTCCTTTCCCTTTAAAGCCTCTCTCCTGCTTCTTTCTCCTTGCCCTCCTTCCCCATCCCCCTCATATCTTTTTCTCCCCTGCAACCTCTCTCTTCCCCTATATGTCCCATCCTCCCTCCTCCCTCTTATCCCTCTTCTCTCTGCCTCACTTCACTTTCTCTCCATCAACCTCCCCCCACCCCTCTCTCCCTACACTCCACCTCCCGCTACCCCCCCCATCCCTCCTCCTCTTCCTCGCCACGTTTCAGCAGGCGCCGTGAATGATTCAACAACCGACTGACCGACCGCTCCATCTCTCCCATAAACGAAATTGGTGAGACCCCGCGAGAAATATTTTCAAAATGGGAGAAGAAAAGTGGAAATTGTGGCGCACTGGGAACATAGTGTTTCGTCCAATCACATTACTTTTATTTTCTCTCGTCCAATCATATTACAGTACGTGCTTTTATTTTCTACCTCGTCCAATCACATTACATTTATTTTCTCTCTCGTCCAATCACATTACGTACTTTTATTTCTTGTCTCGTCCATCATATTACTATTACTTTTTCTGATGCTTGTTTACTTTTGTTGTCTTTTGTCGATCTCAGCATTACAGGACATAAAAAATTTACAGTGTTATAGTTCACTGTTTTTCTATTTACATTGTTATTAAGCTTTACTGAATGTATATGCAAATTAGATGCCACTCAATTTAATAAGAATTAAACTGCCTTAGGTAGACTGTTTAGGGTATCATAATCAAGGGCGTCACAACCAGGTGCGTCATAACCAGGTGCGTCACAACCAGGTACGTCATAACCAGGTGCGTTATAGCCAGGTACGTCATAACCAGGTGCGTTATAGCCAGGTGCGTCACAACCAGGTGCGTCACAACCAGGTGCGTCATAACCAGGTGCGTTATAGCCAGGTGCGTCACAACCAGATGCTTCACAACCAGATGCGCGTCACACCAGGTGCGTCATAACCAGGTGCGTCACAACCACAACCAGGTGCGTCACAACCAGATGCGTCATAACCAGGGCGTCACAACCAGGACGTCACAACCGGAGGACCAGGTGACATGACTCTCCACCTTTAAAAAACTCAGGTGTTCATTACGGGAGACAGGTGAGTCTCTCCACCACCCCTGTTTTGTTGATACACGCCTTCCCTCCCTCCCTCTTATACACCCCCCTTCATACTCCGTCTCTCTCCCTTCCTTCTTCCTCTCGCCCTCCCTCCCATCTTTCCTCTCCCTTTCCTTTTCTCTCTCTGTCTCTCTTTCCTTTCCTTTTTACCTCTCCTATCCTCACTTTTTCTTCTCCCTCCTTCACCTCTTCTTCCCCACTTTTCCCACCTTTACTCCCCCACTCTCCACTTCTCCTTCTTCCCTACTCTTCGCACCTCCCACACTCTCCTCACCTCTTCTTTCCCCTCTTCTCAACACCCTACACGCTACACCTTCTCTTCCCCCTCCCTCACCTCTCCTCCTCAACCCGACTAAAACATCATCTATCATGCTACAGTCTCCACCTTCCCTTCACCACCCCAGAGAATAAGATCCACCTCCCTTAAATATTCGTTAGCCCAAAAATAGCCCCGTCACAACCTAAAAATAGCCCCCATGGCTATTTCCGCCAAGGCTATTTTTTTCCAAAATGAGACACAGTATTTTTTTGTTTACGGTTTTCTTACAGCGGTCACTAATATGGCGGCTAGAATTAGGCTGAGACTCTACCCTACTTGTGTGCGTCCTCCTCCCAGTTTCCAGATGCCATTTTGATTCCCAGAGTCTTCGTATCGTTAGTTATGTCATCCTGGTAGATGCCATTTCACGTCTACGATCTTGAGGAAAATATTGACGAGTACTTAGCTTTTGAGAATCCATCTTTATTGTCGTAG